AAGGCCTGCGCCTTATCTGGCCAGTGTCTTAAGGGGCCGGGCAGTGGGAGACTCGGCCAGACGCCCCCTCCCGTCTGGGGCTGGGGGCATGCGGGGTGCTATTCGACCCCCCCCAGCTCCCTGGTAGGGCAGGGGGGGGCACCCAGCTGTGCCCACAGCCCAGCCAGCCCCCCTCCCCCAAGCTGTGTTAACCCTTCTTGGCCTGGGATTTCAGGACGTCCCATACAGCCCCGCCCCGCTTGGAGCAGGGCAGGCTTGTGTCACCCGGGGGTGCTGCTGGGATGGGCCTCCCGCCCAGAGCCGGCCCTGACTCAGGGTTTCCGGCCTGGGGCGTTCCCCTGCCCAGCTCCCGCCAGCAGGGCCCTGGCCAGGGCGGGGGCCTAGGCCCAGCTGCCCCCTCCTCGGCCCCAGGGAGGCCTTGGCAGGAGTCTTGCAGCCCCTCCGCCCCCCCCCCCGCCCCACCCCGCCCCTCCCCCCCCCCCCCCGTCCGCACATGTCCGTGCACGTGCATGTCTTTGTGCGCGTGCCCTCGCCTGTGTGTGCAGGGTTGGATGTGGATAGGTGTGGCCTGTGTGCGCACATGTATGTGTATAGGTGTGAGAGCAGTGTTGGGTGTGTATACATGTGTGTATATGTCGGCCTGCGTGCACGTTAGTGTGCATAAGTGTATACACGTATGTGGGTATGCACGGCTTGTATGGGCACCCGTGTGTATACGTGTGTGCAGTGTTGGGTGCGTTTGCATGTGGCATATATCAGCCTGTGTGCATGCTTGTGTGTATGTTACTGTGTGTATACACATGTGTGTGCAGGGTTGGATGTGCATGTCTATGTGCGTACATAGGGTGTGTGGGCGTACACATACTTGTGTGTATGGGTATACATGTGTGTGCATATGCATGTACCTGTGGCCTGTGTGCACACGTGGATGTGTGCTTGTTTATATATGTATATAGGTATTTCTGTGTGTATACATGTGTGCATGTGTTTGCGTGTGTGTGTGTGTATGTGCACGTGTGCTCGCATTCGTGCACGTGTGGGTGTGCATATGTTTGCGCACATGTCTGTGAGCGTGCATGTGCATACATATACATACACAACTGTGCACCCACGCATGCACGTGCATGCATACACACGTGCACAAACATGCGCACAAACACAAACGTGCACGACTATACACAGAAACTGGCTTTTGGCATGTGTGGATGTCTGTAGGTACATGTGGATGTGTACATGTGTTTGTATTTGCATACATGTGTACATGTGGGCCCGCACATGTGTGTGTGGTTGTGTGCATGTATATACACGTGTGCCTATGCACCTATGTCCCTGCATGGGTGCAGCTATTTGCATGTGTGCATCCGTGTGCATGTGTGTGAGTGGCACTATTAACCCTTATGGTGCTGTGTGGCAGGTGCCGCTTTTCCAGGGCTCATGCTGCCCCGGTGGAGCTGTGCCACGAGGATGGCTTGTGTGCACGCAGACCAGGGTGTGTGCATGTATGTATGTGGATACACGTGCCTGTCTGGATGTGTGTGTGTGTATATAGGTGCTTGCGTCTCTGTGTATGCTTGTGTGCACACAGGCATGTGGATGTGGATGCGTGCGTGTATATGTGTGTGCACGTGTTTAGACACGTGGATATGTGCATAAGTGTGCGTGCCTGGTTGTGTGTGTGTGTGTTTATATGTATATGTGTGCATGTGCTTGCATGTATATGTGCGCATGTGTGCATCTATATGTGCAGGCATGTGTTTGCATGTGCACCTGGTTGTGTGCATGTATGTGTCTGCATACTCCTGTCTGCATGGATACGTGTGCATGTGCCCGTGTGAGTGCATGCATGTACATGCGTGCCTCTGCCTGCCGGTCTGCACACGTGGGCGGGAGTTTGTGTGTGCGGGACCCGGCTGCTGAAGCAACACAAGGGGTCTGTAATGGGGGGGAATGGGAGGAGCCCCAGAGGGTGCCAGGAGGGGCAGGTGCCGCAGCGCCCCCTGTGCCAGCCCCTGGAGCTGCCCCCGGGGGCACGGGATGCCAGGGTTCACGCCAGGCTCCCCCCTCTCTCCACAGGTGAACGTGTGAGGCCATCGCAGCTGCCATGTCGCACCCCCAGGCGCCCCCCCCCTATGACAAGGACCCCCTGTACCCAACCCCGCCGGGGGGGTACCCACAGCCAGGGGGGTACTCACAGCCTGGGGGATACCCTCCACCGGGGGGGTACTCGCAGCCTGGGGGGTACCCGCCGCCCGCCCCCTATGGGCAGCCAGGCTATGGGTACCCCCCTGTGGGGGCGCCAGTGCCCCCCATGCCCACGCTGCCCATGAACTTAGGTAAGGAGAGCATCCTGTGAGGGGGGGCAGAACTGGGGGGGTGCCTCTTTGTAGGGGGCAGTGCCTTCCCATCCACGGGGAGCACTCGGGGGTCGCACGGGCCCAGGGAGGGGCACTGAGGGAGCTTCCCCCCCGCAGGGGACGACGCCATCATGGCCACCGACTGGGAGGACAAGAAGGGCCGGCCAGCCTTC